CACACACACACACACACACACACACACACACAAGGATGAAGAAAGGCAACAACGACGTCCAAGAAAGGACGCCATGAATCGTCTGTTTATGCGCCGCAAACGCCACACGCATCATCACGCATAACAAGCATGCATGCCTACGTAAAATGTATAAAATAAGACTGCCGGCGGGGGTGGGAAGAGAGGTAATAAAGGCACCACCTCTTTCCCCAAGCACGTTGAACGTCGCCAGGCCACATGCCGATCTGACCAGAGCCTCCCCGAGCTTTGCGCTGATCTTCCTGTTCTCTCACTTACCGCGCAACCTGCGCTCGGATTGTTTTCTTCTTCTCTTGTCTAGGTAGTTCTTCGTGTGGCGTGTTGGTTGGTTGATGCTTACGTGGCGTCTTCACGACCGCGTTCGGTGCGCCATAACTCTGGACTGATGATTGAGTGCCATCTTCACCTGCGCTATTGAAATGGTGATTCAGACAGAGGAGCGAGATACATACGTATAAAGACAAAGATTGATTATGCGCCTCGCTCCACTACTGACCAAATGAGCAAAATGTGAATAAATCTTCAGCTAGAACAAGGAAACATTCACCGCCACATTTTTTGGTCTCTTGTGCATGTGGTGAGTGGTGGAGCGCGGCCCATTGTAACTAGATCGGTCGCATGCAATAAAAGATGGGGATGGTGAGATGCACGTAGAGCAGAGATGGGGGGAGCGAACTCTACCTTCGTCCCGACACGTGTCGGCGTGCCCTGCTAACGCTGCCTCCACGCTGGCATGCAATCGCCAAATGCCGTTCGTCAAGCCGATAGCACGGCAGCAACCATAGAAGCATCAACTAATGACTCATATACTGCGTCTATAGTCTATAGCTGATAGACGGCCGAGGCAGTAAAGATTGTTTTCCATTTTCCATTTCCATTTTTCCATTCCACTCCTTGCAACTCCAACGTCTGGTCGTCGACGAGGGCGGCATGAAATGAAAGGCCCGACCTTTTGGGCGGTGGCGGGGTCGTGAGGGGTGGGGGAAAAAGGCGGGAATGGGTGAGAGGGGTGAACAAAAAGAGCACGAAAAAAGACAAGACGAGAGGGGCGACATTCCGTCTGCAGATCCTCGACCATTGGCCGTTCACCTCGCTAAAATCTACGGTGAGAAATCGCCGTCACGTCCTAGGAAGTCCTAGGAGGTCACCGTGTGCACGCTATTGGTAGCGCGGTGCAACGAGTCCTTTTCCCAACGAACGACGGTGGACGGCCTGCGCTCTAACCGTTGCCCCGCGCTCCACGCGGGGACGCAGAAGACCCGAGGGTGATGGCATGTGTGCTATGTTTTCGACAGTAGGCCTGGCACAGGTTAGGTATAGGGCTTTGGAATATGTCCGTGACGTCGTGAAGGCGGCAGACTGCGTTTATGTTTGGCTGAACTTGGGATGTTGGTGAGCTTGGGAAAGGTTCGGTACAGTTTTGGAGTTCGGTTTTGTTTTGTGGTCGGCAGTTCGGTTTTGTTTTGTGGTTGTCATTTTCAGACCCGGAAAAGAAAAATGGTGTGGGACGACACTTGACGGCGTGCTTGATTTAGCTTGCTATTTCGCAGTCCTGATTTAGCTTGCTATTTCGCAGTCCTAAGGGCTGCAGTATAGCTCGCACTCGCAGGCCTAAACCACCAGTATATGGACACCTGGGCCTGACAGCTCAAACTCTGGAGGCGCGAAAGGCAAAAGCCACCACCGATCGAATTTGTCGACAGCAGGCGCAGCATTTGACGTTTCGGCCACTTTTTTTTGTGGTGACCAGTTTCGGACTGCAAGGCTGGGGTACTTGTGGTCTAAGCTTGGTCCGGCATCTATGTTCGCAGCCCGTCAAGGGTGCGTTGTCGAGCGCATCGATCCCACAAGGGGACCCTCCCGGCCGCGTCACGCATAATTTAATATTCGCGGTACAAATGGAGCTTCCGTAGCCGCTCCGGCCGAGTGCGCTAGCCATACCTCTTGCAAGCCCCTACGACAGGATAGGACCTACGCGAGGTACAACTTACCTCCACTTGCGCAAGTTGTCACCTCCCTTCGGTGGGTGTATCGCCACCGAGCTACTATCCACAATACGAAAGTTAATCAGTTGCAATCCCAAAGGTGGCTCAGCCGAGGGCGTTTCTCGTACGTTGTAGCATATAGGGTACGCGTAGTCCTACGCCTCTATCGGACCGGCACACAAACCGACGCTTGGGGGGGTTGAAGTCCCAATGCGCAATTGTTGTTGGTCGACTAGGACGAATCTCACTCATCACGCATTACACCACGCTAAAAACATAAAAATTTACAAACACACACCAAATGAAACACACACTCCTGGTTCTTTTAGTATCCAACTCACAACATTTTTAACAAAAAAATCGATTAGGCATCGCGCGCGAGACTTAATATAAGACCTCGTGGACGCAGGACCTTATCATATCGACTAGCAATGCATGCATACGCAAACAGTCGCAACGATTGAGTACTATGTAGTACCCATAATCGGACGGTCCTCGATGGTCTCGAGGGTCACATTCGACACTCAAGTGTCGGCTGACACACGCCTTGAAGGGTTAATTTTTCGATGTTAAACAACCGCCAAAGCAGTTGATCATCACACCCTCTTCTGCACCCTGCGGAGAGTGAGTGGTACACAGGTTCCGGTCTGTGGTGTCAGTCATTTTTCTTGGTCTTTAAGATAAATTCCATCATCTAGGGTCTGGAGAGAAATCAAGGGGTTTGACTTTGACAGTTGTCACGGACTTTAACGTCCAACTATAATAATTATAAAAAGCAAAGGTAGAAGGGGATCTCTCTTTTCTCTCAATACAAAGATTCATATAACCCTTACGCACAGCCGCAGTAAGTCACGTGAATATTATATTTATATATATATATATATATATATATATATATATATATATATATATATATATATACAGTCTACTTTGATTTTGGTTAAGGTGGATGATCACTTACAGTGTAATCAGTGAGGGGATTCTACAGACTGTTGAGGGTTCAGCCTCCTGATGAGTCGGTGAAACTCCGACGAAACAGTTTGTCACAGCCTCTCGTTTGTTGTCCTCTTCTCCCTCTCTGCCTACGGTTTACCGGACAGTTCTATTTAATGATATATATATATATATATATATATATATATATTATAAAAGTTATGTTCTTCTCTCAATTTCACTTCACACTACCTACCTACCACTACTCCTAATTATAGGTATACGGGGAACCCCGTAGCAGTCAGAACCGTATTCACGAGAGAACATGCAGGGGTTGCTCCCGACCTGCAGGTGGGCGATACCGGCTAGGGGACAACCAGTAGCATCAAGGACCATGCCAACAGGACCAATCCCTTTGTCTCCCCTCAGGTCCCCTCCCCTACGAACATCAGCAGATTCTGCTCAATGTCGATCGAGGGATTCAGTGGTCTATATATATATATATATGTGTGTGTGTGTGTGTGTGTGTGTGTGTGTGTGTGTGTATGTGTGTGTGTGTGTGTGTGTGTGGATATATATAAAGGGTTATATATACGAAACGATCACTTCTCACAATCACAGTGAGACTCTCTTCAACTATATATATGTAATCTCCGACAATCAAATTCATAATCCGAACCACGAACATAGTTGCAATCGCTTCAAAAATTAAGTGTGTGGTCAACTTCAACCACTCTCTGCGTTCATACCCCTTGCTTTAGCAATACAAACCTCAACATTTGTCAAACCTTCCAAAACAAAATACTCAGTATCTTTGTTAAATGGTCATTCAATAAAGTCCGGGTTAAAGCCCAACGAAACAATTCAAACCACAAGGCTAAAGCCTTTAGGTTGAGTTGACGAGAGTGAATTAGAGTTGAATCATAAACCGACGAATCGACAACCGACATGTTATTAGTGATAACAGAAGATGATCCTTGTAGGATCAAGCTGAACCTAGTCCAAATCTTGAATATAATCAATAAAGAGGACCTGTAACACAAGACAAAATAATTATCAAGGCTACACTATCAGTTTAAGAGGAATGAATCTCCATAACACATTCTCACTCAAAATTTTTATAATAACTAAGTTTAAGTTTACCTCTAAGTCAATGTCCAAAAAAAGATAGACCTATGCAAAATCTCCCCTATGTAGGGTGGATCGTCAGAATCGCCACCTGTCGAAATATAATCTAACTCCGAAAATTTTGGCAGCGCTTCCTGTAAGAAAAATGTATTTTCATAATTTATACTAGCCTGAATACGAAAACTGAAATATTCCTTAACCCTAGGAAGTCAAATTTTGTCTAACTTCTGGATTAGTAAAAACTTGGGCAGCACCTCCTTTAGAGAAGTAAACTTATCATATTTATACTAAGTCAGATAAAAACTCGAAAACAAGACCTGAGTTCTTGCCAAGATAAAATTTAACCAACTCCTTAGATTTGCAGAAATTTTGGCACCGCTTCCCATAGAGAAAGTAGCTTTCCAAAATTTATATATATCTAAGTACTGAATTTGAAATAACTCTGACTTCATAAAGCCAAATTTTGTCTAATTCCCTGAATTAGTAAAAAAATTAGGCAGCACTTTCCCTGCAAAATAAGACTTTTCATATTTATACTAGGCCTGATATAAACTTAGACAAAAAATTGAACCTTTGAAAGTCAGATTTAACTAACTTCTTGATTTTTTAGAAATTTCGGCAGGGCTTCCAGTATGAGAGGTACCTTTACAAGATTTATATAAAGCCAAGCAGGGTTGCCGGTGTTCGGGATGGGCCGAACGCCCGAACCCGAACGTCCAAACATTAGGGACCCCTTCTCGACACGTTCGGTCGTTCGGCCGAACGCGTACCTAAAAACTCAAAAATAAAAAAATCCCAAAAACATATATGTTATGCATAAGAATAAACTAAACAACATTTGCCTCAACATTACATCCAAATTCTTTACTAAATTTGAAATCAAAATTAACTACTAAAAATAAATAATAATAATAAAAATTACTGGAAAACAAACGAGAATGAAATTATTGAGTGGGCGAGCACGTTTTTTACACCGCCATCTTTGGCGATTTTTTGTTTTTTTTTTGCTGTGAAAAATGCCATGAAATTTTATATATCTGTAGCTTACATAATAAAAAATTTATAAATATTTTTTTTTAAAAAAATATTTTTTTTTATACCTCGAAATAAAGAAAAAACAAAAAGGTAAAAGAGAAAAAAAATAAATTAGCGAGTGGGCAAACAAGTTTTGACACCACCATCTTTGCCGATTTTTCATGTTGTTTTGGCTAAACAGAATGACTCCAAAATTAACAGGGAGGTACCTTAAATCACAAAGAACTCACACAAAAAAATTCAGAAAAAAAAAAATATATTTAGGTTCCAAAATATTTTTATGCAGGGTCCGAACCCTTTCATGTTCGAGCCCCGTACGGGGACCCGAACGCCTGAACGTTCGGGGGTCAGCTTAGGGGCCTCCGTACTTTTGGCCTGGCAACCCTGAAGCCAAGTGTAAAAAATGATTCCAAAAAATGCGAGAATTTACCTAATTAAAAAACGTTAGCTCAGAAAATGCAGGAATTGAACCAACTCTTATAGTTTTTGCACGTGACGATCTAAAACAACTACCTATCAAACTGAAACTCAGACTAAATAAAGTTCCCACCCAACCAAATGCAAGTCCAAACCATAATGGTAAGTATTCTCACCAACCCCAAGTTGAACCTTGACAAACAATAGTTCATAGTCTTTCAATGATTTATCTCTTATACCCAGTTTACATAGGGCGTAAAGCTAGACCATCCAACTTAGGAACAATTGTCTAGCTCAACCATTGAATATACACAAACACAGGGCAACCCAACTTTTATCTTCTTTGGGCATGTGACGAGGTCGTACAACTTAGTACGCTCTGAACTGTTTAAAAATAACCAGCATATATATATATATATATTATATATATATATATTATATATATATATATTTTTGCACTTAGTCTTTCAAGGCAGTATATAACTGAACCGTTCAACTCAGAAACATGTTTCAACCTGCCCCTTCTTACCACCAATTTACTCTTAGTTAGTACTTTCTTAAATTTGTGATAACCTATAGTCAGACCATC